GTGCATGGCCTCTCGTGCCATTCTTTCAAATTTCTTTTGAAGAACAGTGAACTCAAAACTACGAACAATACCATTAGGAATTATCGCGTGCACTTTTTCCGACAACCTTTCACGAAATAGCTGTAAACAGGTGTTCTGATCATTTGCAATTGTTACTAAATTAAGGAACGGATGATTTATTAATTAACTAGGGTGCTGTACCTTTAGGCCGCCTCACACTCCTTAAGTCACACGTGAACATGTAGTTTATCAAAAAATGTGTTCATGGGTCCAGCAAATACTGTTGGATTGGTTTGCGACGTAAAAATCAGTTTTCCTCTCAAGTCACCGCTTAACTCTTTCTGTTTGACTGCATGTTTGCGATTCATGATTGAAAACCAACTGCCTTTGCTTATTTAATATTGCGTCAGTAGTTAAATACAACTTCCTTCCTTTTTAACTGACTAACGTCAACATTATTCGACCTATTGGGTTTCGCTTGAAAGAAAATTAATACTAATTACTTTGTGATGATCAAGTTGCATTTAAAGTTTTAACTCCGGGTTCAGACATGCAAAGTTTCAATTTCAAGTAAGGTGAGAGTTTGGATATTGTGAGCGAGCACGACTTACTCACAGGGACTTTTTTTTACTAATGTCGCGGAAGACTCAACAGTACTCAGTTAAAAACCAATTGCCATCGGAGGAGGAAGTCTGGAGAATATTCAGTAAGTCTAGCAAAAAGCAATTTCCAGTCTCAGCCTCGTTCAAAAAAGAAAACATATGCAGAGTTCCTTAAACGTTCTACACAGCTGCTGAAACTTAAGACTGTATATAACGCTCCATTCAATGGTGGAAGCTGAAGGTCAGTCTCATTCAAAAGCGGATGAAACCTAGAAAGCAATGAAATTCTTTGCATATTATAGAAACTGAACACTGATTAGGGTTATGTAAAAAAAAAGATGACAAGTGCTGAAGGCTTGCATTTGACACTTGTTATTAACTGCTTCTTCAACGCTTTCTTGTCTTTCACCGCCATCGTATTAAACATCATAACAATGCAAGCGCTCAGAAAAACGTCGTCGTTACCTAAGACTTTAAAAACTTTGCTACTAAGTTTGGCTGTGTCTGATCTGGGTGTAGGCTTCCTTGTCCAACCACTGTATCTTGCAATTCTTGTGATGAAAATAAAACAAAACACAAACAGTACTGCTTATAAAGCGGTAAACGAAGCGTATTTAATACAGAAAAAAACATTGGTCTTTGCTTCGAATTTTAGTGTTTTTGCATTAGCTGTGGACAGATTCTTGGCCATTTATCTTCATCTCAGATATCAGGAGCTTGTGACTCACAAACGTGTTGTTGCTGTTGTGATCTCAGTCTGGGTGTTTAGTGCATCAATTTCCATCCTACGTAAATTGTATGATTGTGATATTATGCGAGCGGTCATTTTAGTTGTTTGTGTCGTAACTACAGGATTACTTTATTGCAAGATATACGCAGCCGTGAGACACCACACAAAGCAGATTCACGCTCTGCAAGTACAACAGGCAACACAGAATGAAGATATGGCAAACGCCACAAGACTGAAAAAATCTTCACTGGCTACATTCTACATTTATTTCGTGTACTTAGTTTGTTATTTGCCAATATGTTGTGTTGTTTTTTTGCAAGGCCAATGGTGAAACTCCCTTGTTATCTCATTTATGGTATATCACATTGACCCTTGTGTTTCTCAATTCATCCCTCAATCCCTTGATCTACTGCTGGAAGATGAGACACATTCGACAAACTGTTTTGGATATACTTCGAAATATTTTTGCGATTGGCCCACACTAAAGAAAGGATCTAACTGAGAATAACTTCTGCCTTTTTCTCTCTGAGCGGTGAAAATATTAGCTTTTCAGCAATACAATTGGAAAAATGACACTAAATATAAATGAGACCTGAAACCTTCTTGTTCTCCCTGTTTGAAGGCAAAGGGATAAATATATGATTGAGTTAGTATAAGTTGATGAGATTTCAGTTTGCTTTTGAATAATTAACAAATAACGGAAACTCGATCTGAAAGCATTATTTATCAAAGTCAGAAAGAGGGCAAAAAGAAAAAGCTACGAAGGTGGTTTAGGGCAAGTGACTTGATAAATAGGGGGCCGTCAGTTTCCAAATTTTTATGGGCAAAAAGTTCTGTGTACAGTAAAGTGTCTTAAAAAGTTTATCAGATTTTGTTAGCCATAGTGCATGCAATGAAGAAAACTAACTAAAGAGGAGAGAGATCAAAACTATATCAATAAATCTTCCATACTGAATGTAACAAGAGTGGCAAAAAGATTTACCGATATAACAACAACAACAACAACAACAACAACACATAATAATAATTATTATTATTATAAAAATAATAAGAATAAGAATACTAATAAGAATACTAATGATAAGGAGAACAACACAGCCTATTTGTTGAGAAAGACGAAACCTCTACTGGTAGTTTATACTGTTGAGAATATATATTACAATAAAGTTCAATAAAGTTCACGTGAAAAAGTTAAAATGTTTTGAAGAATGGTAAAAATATACCATTTAAGAGGCAGTCCGTGTAAGAACCGACCACTCGAATTTCCGCGGAAAACAGAATTTCTTCATTTTTTTTCTGCGACGTAAGTATGATTTTCATTCATGCTTCCTTTATTCAAAAAAGGCAAAATATTTAAATTCTGACTTAAAAAAAAGGAATTATTTTTGTTGAAAATACAACGTGAAGCGTCCTTGAAAAAAATGCGCGGTTGTCCTAGTTTTGAAATGAGCTTTTTTCAAAAGTCTGACGTTATCTGGAGTCTTGGTCACTATCCCTGTTTAGTACTAGGGCTAGTGTATCGAAATCAAGAAAAACATTTTTGAGCACTGTTGATTCCGAAGCACAAGAGTTGGGTAATATTGGACTTTTAAAATTGTTCGTATGACGTAAATTACGTAAAATTCCGAAAATAAGCTCCTCCATGTATAGGCCCCCTCCAAATATAAGCCCCCGCCTAAACTCGTAACGCAAAAACCCTCCGCTAAATCGCCCCTCCAAATATAAGCCCCTGGGGCTAAATGTACCTGGAAAATTGCCCTCAAATACAAAGTAAAACAAAGCAAAAACGGTAAATTTGCTTTCAACTATAAGGCTAGCCCAATCGATTTTGAAACGCAAATTTCCCTCCGTAGATAAGCCCCTCCGAATATAAGCCCCTCAAAAAGGGCCTTTGAAAAATATTTAAGCTCCGGGGCTTAATTTTGGAATTTTACGGTATGTTAAAAAGTAGCTTTTATTGTTCGAGATAAACTGTAAATAACTAACAACTTACCAAAATGCTACACGAAAGCAGAAATTGCGAAGTTTAATAGCCGAAATTATCGATTCCGGCGTCAGTTGTCGTCTAAGTTTTCTTCTAAAAAGTTGTTAACAAAATTTATTTCAATTAAATTGGTCTTAGGTTTGCATGATCAACAAAGAAAGAAAAAATCTTTTCATTCAAGTTAAGCATATAAGTATTTGACGAAAGTGAGTTCTGTTTAAAAGAATTACACATTTTATTAAAAACACTCGCTAGAACGCAGCCGCAATTCAAATCATCTGAAGAGTGTTAATTTCCCGTCACGCTGGCTACACGTGAATGTCAGTTTTTTTAGCTTGTCACGCGTATTTACTTTTTTTTATTACGGTTGACAAAAAACATGTTCTTTTCTAATTCGACTTTTTAAACATTATAAAAGTCATAAAACGTCTTTTGAAGTTTTTGAAAAATAACTGCCCTCACGATTTTTTTTTTCGCTCCCTTTCATGAATTCAAGGTTGAAACACCCTGTTGGTTACTTTAATAGCAGTTTGTGCCTTAATGCGGCTGGTTACAGTCACAGCCTTCAAGAAATTCGGATAGGTTCGCTACAAGATTTTTTTTTCTATCGCGAGAACTAAAAGGAATTTCAAAGTATTTCAACATGTCCTTGAGCATAGCAACGCTAAATGTTTCAAGTTTCTTATCGAGTGAAAGGTCACATAAACAGTGTGAATCATAGGATGTAGGATGCTTATGACCAAGGTGGGTGGCCACCTCTTCCAGGACGGCTCGTCTCTCCTGCTCTTCCTGTTCTGCCTGTACGTCTTCACTGAGCGCTTCCCGATGTGCCTTTTTTCTTCTCGAGGCCGCTAGCCTGTACTTGACCTTTTGTGAGCCAGTGTTTCCTTTCAAACATCAGAGAACTATCTGGGTTTCTTGCAGTTCGCATATCTGCTGCCATTTTTGCGGGATCTGACTTGATGCCAGTTCTTTCTCCAAGGTCAAATTTCGCTGTTAGGTACTGTTTAACCTCGGCAGGAAAACGCACAGCTTCGTTTCGGGGCTTATGTAGAGGCCATCCAGTCTACAAGTCATTGCATTGGGGAGAGCGGCCAGTTTCATTCTTTTCGTGACGCTCCTCTCCAACTGCTTCGGGCATGCTTCTGATTTAATTTCTTCGTCCTTATCAACAGTACGAAATTTCTCCGCCCAGTCTCTTCTGAGCTTGTCATACACCGTATCAGAGTTTCGGCGAACTTGGCTGTGCTCACCAAGATCAAGGTGATTTTCGAGTTCACTGAATTTCTTGAAAACCATGTTGCACCCGGGCTCAGAACAAGAGAAAAGACCGTTGCATTGTTCATTTTCACTGTCTGTCTCTCTCTTATATACTCCAGCTTCTTTGAGAGTAAAGAAGTTTTCATGCACAATGAGATCAGTAGGACCTTGAGGTTCAGTTATGACCTCTCGCGCGGTAAGGAATAAACCTGCCTATTCCAACACCATAAGCTCTCCATGCTCTAATTCCTTTCACTTCAAACTTGAAATTGTGATACTTGCTGAAACCTTCTATCTTATGTACTTCGATTGTCTTTTGAGTCTCATTCATTGCACACACGGAGGCAGTTGTACCTTGAACAGGGCGTTCTGAAAGCGCTACACGCATGTCTTTCGCAGAAACGACATCGTGTCCCTCATTGCACTATCGTCGGATGGATGCTTTCATTGGGCAAAGGATTCTATCACAGATATCATTTCCATACTGCGGCTCGGAAAAGTCATACCGTGCTAGTTCAATGCCTACTCGTCTTCCGGCATCTCTAACGGCGGCTAAGAGAAAGTTATTGTGGTAACAGCCTGCTTCGTCACTCCTTAGGTTCACTTGGGTAATCTGGGGATGTTCTTTCTTTACAACCTCAAGTGTGTCTTCGATGATCGAGCATACTGCGTACCAGTCTTGCTGGCAAGAGTCGAAGATATGAGCATACGATTTCAGCTCAATTTTTCCAGAGTCAACATTCTTAGGTATAATGGTGGAAATATGCCAGCTGAGCCCCCGTTTGCCGAACCATTCAGACTGTTTCTCACGAAATTTTATTTGGAGGAACTTCATGGCCCAGTCCATGATCAGAATGGCTGCCTGTGGGTCTTCTGATCTCAGTGCATCTTGTTTCGCCTCCTCTTGATTTATTGAGCACACAATGTGCACTTTCCACAGCATGATGTCTGACTGTGCACGGTCAAAGTCGTAAAGGAAATCTCGTTTTTCGGAACTATAAGGCTTCCATGATGACTCTTCAATCGCTAGTCTCACTTCCTTTAGAACATTCTTCAGCCCTTGGCATTGCTCGCAAGTCGATTGATGCTGATGCGGACAAGGATGCTGGAGCTCGGGATTAACAGGATCACTAAGCGCAAACTTTCTACAGTGGTCAGCGCGAGTAGAGTGAGACTGTTGACAGTGCACACGGTAGTCAGTTTTGAGATAGCGTTTAGCATCGCGTAGGTTTTGGCAAATACGTAGACACCACTGTTTTTCCATTCCTCCTTTCTCAAGAGTTTCAACCAGCGTCTCGATAGTCCGAAAGCCCTCAGCATCATTTGCAGCTGTATTGTTTAAGCCCTAGAGCGATTTACTCTGAGACGCTTCTCGAACTTCTAATATTTTGAACAGCGTAGACCTACTAAGAGGCTCGTGACATTGCTCTTTGCAATAATCCAAGTATTGCTCAATCATTGTAGACCTGGTCAGGATCCTTACAACGTTAGGCATCTCAATTCTGTCACCATTATCTAGGGTGAGTACATTGTTACCATATGAAACATGCTAATAAAAATACGGTCCATTAATGAATTCTACAAAGTGGTCGACCTTTTCCATATCAAGGCGTACGCGATGCTTCGTCTTGATTTCAGGGATGGTCCCAGGGCCGTGCATTTTAGCATGAGAACGTGCGTGCTTTATTTCCCATGTAGAGAGACTTCCATAAGGTTTGTAAATTTTCTTCATCTTGGTCATAGGGTATCTTTTAGCGTAAAGGCTCAGAATCTGTTTCTTTAAATTCTTGGTCTTCGCGTTCTTATAAGCAGTCTTGAGCACCACAAGATCATCGCATCGGGAGCTGAGCCATCAAATATTTCTCTTTGTACAGACATCATTGACTCGAAGAGCTCCTCCCCCGTTACCTCGGGGCAATTACACTACATACGTGCAAGCAGTACTCTTTAGCCTTTTTTACAACTTTCAACTGTTCCCCATCGCTTAAGTTTTGGAATGAAGTTTTAAGCTGATATTTAAGGGGCTCGCGTTCTACTTTTTCTTGTGTAATAAGACTCGCAATTGTATCCATCGCCTCGTTATACCCGCCGACTGCATCGGTTACAACGGGTGAAGTAAAAGAGGCCTCCTCTGACCCTGGAGTCCAGCATGTTGTTATGGGATTCCAAGACGTTGGCGTTGATTGGTCTTCAAGAAATGGAGTCGAAGTGACCATGCGACCGATGGCTCCCACAGCAGCCTCTTTAGCAGGTCTGCGGAGAATAGAAATGGAACGGCTACCCTCCCGACAGTACCTTTAAAGGAGCTCATCTCCCTCAGTTTCCTCAGGGCGTAGCCAGTCTGATTTCCGATCTAATTCTTCACTGTGTTTCTTTCTGCACGTTGTGCAAATAGCTAGTAACAAAAAGAAACAAAAAAAAGTTTTGCAACCTGGAAAGACTTGTTAAAAAATACTAGATTTACTACTACGTTGATAATAGAAACTACCGTATATCTTTTTAGTAAAATCCAACTAGTGGTCTATTATCAAAGTTGCGTTCTGACTGGTTGAGCTATAGCTACTACTAGGCTTTATGTTATAGCCCCCTAGTAGCGAAAAGCGCCGGCTTTGAAAACCCAAACAATATGCATGGCGGCTGAGTCGCGTTTTGCTTGCTAAAGTTTTTTTCTTTTTCGGTATTTTTGACCAACTAGTTGGATTTTACTAAAACAATTATTCCCCTCGCCCTCATGGCCTCTGAGTTAATAGCCCATTCGGGCACGAGGAATAATAGTTAAGTATCCCATCTTGGACATTATATTATATGGTCTATAAATCAGCGACAAGATTTATGAATGACGCACAGCAAAGAACTATTGCTAATGAACTACAAAAACCAAATTAGGATCATTTGATGTGTCATTTGTTTGGAAATGATTTTCTGGCCGCAAAATACTATCAAATACGAGATCGATCGTTTAACGTTCAGGAAATATATAGAGTGGGACTTCCCCTCAGTATATAGCTCGCTTTTAAGTAATTAGATAAGGAACGAAAGTATCTAGTTGAAATGTTCAGGAAGACGAAATTAAATTAAGTGAACGACGCCAGAAAAATTAACTAAAATTAAATTAAAAACATGAAGAAATAGGAAACCAGCAGAACATTTTTATTCTTAATAGTAGCCAGTTTTTTGTACTTTGTTTATTTTACCTCGTTAAGCCTGATAAGTAGTTTCAGCTTCTATAAAATAACATCCAACATGTTTTGCACTGCGAACTGAAATCTGAATTTGACATCGTCAGACACAACATAAATTATGTCGTATGCACACAAAAACTTGTGGCTAGAAAATTCGGTACATTTTGGTAAACGATTTCTTTGTTGAATCGTGTTATAACTTTTGAGGTGGTAATTACAAGGTAAATCAATTGATAATGTATTTTGATTTTTTTTACCATTCGTAGCCCCTTTATTTCAGGGAAATTTCTAAACTGTTTAGCCACAACTTGACATGGCAACATTCACCGGACTTTGAAAATAGCTGCTCCCTGACAGTATTGACTTTCGGTTTTTTAGTGGCAAAGTTTGGAATCAAGAAATGTGTAAATTACGTCATACGCACAATTTTACAGTAGAATATTACCCAACTTTATCGAACTCTTGTGCTTCGGAATCAACAGTGCCCAAAAATGTTTTTCTTGACTTCAATACACTACCCTAGTACTGAACAGGCCTAGTGACCAAGACTCCAGATAACGTCAGACTTTTGAAAAAAGCTCATTTCAAAACTAGGGCAACCATTTTACCTTTTTTGAATAAAGGAAGCATGAATTAAAATCATACTTTTGTCTTATGCTACTTGGATAAATGTGAAATTTTTTGCGAGCCTTGAACAAAACGCTTAAATTTGACCTTAAAAAAGACGATCATGACAGCTTTGGACCGTCCAGGCAAATCGCCGCCCAAATTTCTTTTAGGGCCTGTTTACATGGAGGTGAGGGACCCCAGGTAGGTGAGGTAACCCGTTTAGGTGGGGTAACCCGCCTGTTCATATAATCTCTCAGTTTAAGGCCCCGTCCACACGAAGATGATTGTAAACGCAAACTTTTTCAGTTTTAGGCCTTCCGTCCACACGAAGACGATGAAACGCTCACCGTAAACGCGTAAATTCGAAAACGCTCTCCAGAGTGGATAAATTTGAAAACGCCGTTTATGTGTCTTCGTGTGGACGGCCGTAAACGTATATTTTCGTAAACGCTGTGAAAACGCTGACGTCAGATGTCAGCGCCAGTCTCTTTTATCGAGTGCGTTTCCAAGATGGCGTACACACAAGTGTTGAGCTGTGTCATGCTTGCGCTTATTTCAAGCATAATTGCGAGCATTCAATTGAATCATGCAATAATCGATATACAGGAAAACTACAATGGCTTGACGGAATTTAAGTCGAATGTTCTTAAGCTTTCACGCCAATATGACCTTAGTGATCTCTTCTTTCTTGTGTGGGTATTCTTTTTCAATTTCTGAAGACTCTTCTTGAGATGATGGGTAGTGTTCCCGATATAATTCAAGAATGTCAGTGTACTTTGACTAGCACGACTCCCAGTCGATATTTTTCGCCACTTTCGACACCTTGTAGTCATTTGTAACTTCTAAAAGCAGCTGTACTTCATCGTCAGTCCAAACAAAGTTGTCTGCCTTAGTTTTATCACTTTTTTCTTTCGGTTTCTTGCCAGCAGACTTCGACATTTTTCTTCTCTCTCGATCACAACAAACGCACGTGGTGACTTGAGAACATGGACGCTAACACTTGATAACAAGGCGCTGAAGCAAAGATTGCAGGCTCGATAGCGCATGCGCGTTCGGTGTATGACATCGTTTTATGCGTTTACGAGCGTTTTCGGGTGGACGGGTTAAAACGCTACGTAAACGATGATCGTTTTCGTGTAGACGGAGATAAAAATATGCGTTTACCAGCGTTTGCGTTTACAATCGTTTTCGTGTGGACCGGGCCTAAGTTGATCACATTTACATGATTGGTGGGGTGACCCGCCAAGGCGGGAGACCGGGTAACCCTCCCTGCCGTGGTGAAATTTTACCATAAACGTTTCAAGGTGGGGTAACCCGCCTAGCCAGGGTCGGTTTCGTGATACATCGAATTCGCGCAAAAATCACTTTGGCAGTGGCTTTGCATCATTATTAAAGGTAAAAATAGAAAGCCATAGGACTGAAGGTTGCAGCAAGAGCAGCAGGTGAGTGTTGAATAGCATTAATAGCCGAAACACGTGGTTTGCCAGCATTTTTCTTGTGTGCGTGAAAGCGACCATTGAATAATCTTGACAAAGTGTGTCCCGGGATGGTGGGGTTGTAAGATTGCATGTAAAGGAGGGTTATTTTTTTACCCCACCTAAGTAAGTTACCTCACCTACCTGGGGTCCCCCACCTTCATGTAAACAGGCCCTTAAAAAGCACTATGAGCCAAATAAATTTGGTTTTTGTTAATGGAATGGACTAATTATGTTGCAGAAAAAACGTTCTGTTTTCCGCCGAAATTCGAGGGGTCGGTTCTTTCACGGACTGCCTCTTAAAAAGCTTTGTTTATGCACAGCTAGCCTCGTAGAGAGAACGAGGCTAGCCGTGCATAAACAAAGCTTTTTAAATCTCCTGAAACAAAATCGCGGCCGCGTGATAAAGGTCTATAGCCTAATTCCTTTGAATCGCGTATCGTATGTCTGGCCTAGGGGTTAGTCCCTATAATGACCAATGCGGGGAGGCTCAACCCGATTCCATGCCTCAGGTACATGAAAGGGTAAGGATTTCACTAGTTGAAATAAATGAAACGGTATGGAAATTTGTCATTTCGGTCCGTAGAAAGGCCCAACACAACTGAAAGATGCATCATGTCTGTGAGAGAGTCGGCGCGAGAAAGCTTTCCGGCCTTCTGATTTGTTCATATTTAAAAGACAGTACATTTGCAGCAGTTCGAAGGGATGCAAAGTTCTAAACTAGGTATGTGAAAGGGGTACCATTTATCAATAGAAGGCAGACGAAAGGGGTACTGTTGAAGTGACAAATGCACTAATTGACCACAAATGTAGTAAAAATTGGCCACAAATGTAATAGAAACCTAAAATGCTATCAAAACCGTATATTAATCGAAAGAGTACCACTTTAAATTACAGGCGGACACAAATAAGTTCCGCGGCACCCTAGCCTTCGTAGCAGACGCTAAGAAATAAA